GTCAGTTAACCCACCCGATTCAGAGCTGGAAATAAACCATCAGTGCTTGATTCAGTGCGCACGAACGAGAAGCTCATGGTTGAGAAACCAAGGCTGGAGAGCCCTCTGTGGCGAAGCGACCGCGTTACCATAATTTACGACTTCGTTTGTTATGCGGAGTATCTACAAGAACATACTAGCTTGTTTCGAACAATCATCCACTCTGACATATAGGCAGGACTTGTGGGAGATGCCAGCTGGGAGTTTTCGGACGACTGTTCTATTAACAGTGATTTGTCGGATTTTACTGGCAAGTTCAGTGATCTGATTAAATTTGCATCGGTCAACAAGCCCCTACGTTTTGCACGAGCAAATTCATTCATCCGGAGTAGAACCCGAAAACACATGTCAATAAGAGACACTGCGTGGCACGTATATAGAGCGAACACTAGCCCTGACAGCTGGAGTAGCTATGTTGTGCATGGTAATCACAGTACCACACTTGTGCGTGAGGACAAGTTAGTACACAAGCTGAGTCTAGCGGAAAAGTTTTGTGTTAACGAAAGCTCATGTACAGACATGTGAACAGCCTCGAGAATGTGAAACGTGGAGTTCCCCCACTAGTACCAGCGGACGGATGTGCTCAAACCGCCGAGGATGCAGCCAACGTTCTACGACTACAATATGCTCCGATTTTCCGACGTGCTCCAAGCATTTGTGACATACCTGTCCCATTCTCTCAGATGCCAATATTTACACACGTCACGTTTAGTTCAGCGATCATTTTGAGGAAGCTGCTATCGTTGCGCACTCATAGTTCCCCCGGAGTTGACAACATTCCTCCGAAAGCACTGCAGGTGGCAGCTAAGAGGATAGCTGAACCACTAACGAGAGTTTTCCAAAGATGCCTGAACGAACAGCAGGCTCCTAACATGTGGAAGCAAGGCATCAGTACCACGATTTTTAAAAGTGGTAGCCGTTCAGAGCCAGTCAACTATCGCCCAGTGACTCTCCTCCCGGTGCTCTCTAAGGTGATGGAGTCGATCATAGCTGAGGCTGTAATGGGCTACTTTAAAAGGTCTAACTTCATAGCACTGACGCAACACGCATTCCGTCAGCATCGGTCACGTACTGCCATCCTACTGCTTGCCCTGGGCAGCTGGACCGAGATAACCGACAGTGGGACCGGCATTGATGTCATCTACCTAGACTTTTCCAAAGCATTTCACTGCATAGATCACCGCATCTTTCTGCAAAAGCTGCAAGCATACAGAGTTGGAAATCCTGTCCTTGTATGGAACAGAAACTTCCTTTTTCAGCGGCGTCCTAAGGTTCGAGTTCGAGGTTCGTTTTCCGATCCAAATGATGTGGACTGCGGTGTTCCACAAGGGTTGGTGTTAGGGCCGCGGTTATCATTGTTCTTCATTAACGACCTTGCGAGTGTCATCAAGTCAACTTTCCTGCTTTTTGCCCATGATCTCAGGATATGGCAGACAAGTGACTGTCCGGAAGATCACGATATGTAGCAACGAGACAGACTTCCTTTTGAAGGGTCAAAGTCAAACCTACCTCCGTTTAACACGGACAAGTGCACAACTGTGCATGTCGCCCACAAGCCCACCTACTCATATAAGTTTGGAGATGATATGCTGAACACGGCCTCACAAGAACCAGACCTTGGGGTGGTAATCCAAGACGACCTCGGCTGTTCGGCGCAGTCTATGAAGGCCTCCAAAACTGCGAACCAACATGCTGCTCTGTTACGGAGGGCGTTCGGGAGGTCCAGTCCCTTTCTCTTCCCGCAAATTCTCACTGCGTAGGTGAGGCCTCATGTAGAGTACGCGATCCAGTCTTGGCAACCCTGGTTAAAACGCAACCTGGTTGAACTGGAGAACATACAGCGATGGGCAACGAAAAATGTGAAAGTTTGTCCCACGTGAAATACCATAGGCGACTGAAAGCCCTGGGAGTGTACAGCGGAAGATCGCTGTCTACGAGGTGACCTCGTCCTGACGTTCCAGATTTTGGAAAACCCTGGTCACGTTCGCCGGCACCTCCTGAAACTTAGCTGTAACACATAATTGAGCGGTCATAACTTGAAACTTGTCACCTAAAACAGTCGGCTGGAGTGCCGCCGGAATTACTTCTTCCTTCAAGTTTGTCAACCTTGGAACGCTCTTTCGACTTTTGTCATTTCAGCGCTCACGTTACCCATTTTTAAAAGACGATTCGGTGATGCTTTGCACTATTTACATTGCTTGATCGGATTTCTGTTCATTGAGTGGCGACAAAACGCAGACAAACATTGTGCTCACCAACCCTACGAAATCGTGTTAGACGGATATACCTGTGTGTTAACGTGGCTAATATGGTGAGTCCACAGAGATGTTTTTACTTTTGTGTAACTTAATTGAACTAACGTTATTCTCACAAACAATCCCTCGTGACTCGTCAAGCCTTGGCTTTTTTATCCGTATTATACCATTGTTTCGTTGTTTTGGTTCCGGAGAAACTGATCTGCTTGCATACTAACACACAAGTCCTTAGTAGTAAGTTGGTCGAAAGCCGACCCTATCAGACGTCCGAGCCTCATGATATCATAATGATCACCGAAACGTCACTGAGCTGTGAAATAGCCGACGCGGAAATCGCCGTACCCTGTATGTCACTTTTCCAGAACGACAGAACGGGTAGGGGAGGGAAAGTGATCATTTATGACAAAACAAACCGTCGTGAGCTCATGGATGATCCCCCAACCTGTGTCACTGATCTCCTTTCGTGCAAACTGTGGTTGAAGAGCGACGATACATCCTTCATGCCCGTAGTTTACCAACCACCCAAATTCACTGCGCAGATACACCACAGACTAACATCTTCATTTTGCATTGTGTTAAGTCAGAAATACATTTATATCCTCATCACAAGTGATTTCAACATTTGTGATTTGGAAACTCCAGCAACCGAGGCAGGATTGTTCAAGATCTATTTACAAGAGCTAATCAATAGCACACCTCAAATTCAACCACGCCACCAATCCCACCAGTTTCAGCACAGCGAATAGGCCATCAATGTTTAATCTAGTGCTCATCAGCGAGGAGCTCACGGTTCGTGGGCTAAATGTATGCAGTCCTCTGGGACGAAACGAGCATGTGACTTTACTGTTCAATTATATATGCGGCACCGAATTCTCTGATGAAAACCACGAAAAGATGCCATCGATTACGCATCATCAGGTTTTGTCCGCATTCGCTGAACATGCTAGTTGGACATTCATGATTGGGTACACCCCAGAGATAGTCAGGGGAAATGCTTGAAAACATACACGCCACTAGTCACCAAAGCATCAGAGCCAAAATCTCCACCATTCCATCAAACTAAAATCCTTCTTGATGAGCGGAACACGAACATTCATGGCATTGAAAGGTCGAACATGGCCCCTCTACAAAAGCGATTCCATCGCAGAAGATTGGACAGCTTACATACCTGGGCATAATATTCTGTACAGTTGGTTCGTGAAGACGATTCGTTACACCAACAGCAGCTAGCCAAACGATCCTGTTCGAACCACAAGCTTCTTTACAGACGCGTGAATGGACTTTGAAAGTTGCAGCGCGGAATCTCACCACTCACTACGATTTATGAGTCTAGCACACACCAAAAGAGGCGACCAACGCCTTACGGGCCCAGTGGTTGCCTACTTTTTAAGTGGTACAAGTCACAAAAATTATACTTGCTTCTGTCACCACACCATCAGTGTCATCCAGCATCACATTCACAACGGAAATGGTGTTTAAAAACTACTATCCTTGCGTACACATAGCTTTCCTGGAGTGGATAACATTCACTTTAAAGCACTGCAGATAGCACCTTTGCACCTATCCCAACAACTTGCCGGATTCTTTCAGCGTTGTCTAGATGAAAACATACTTCTGTCAACGTGAAAACGAGTTCTGGGAACACGGTAACACTAAGATTTTAGTTTCTTTGCCCAGACAGCAAGTAAAGTTTAATTTGACTACTCTACAGTTTTCCGTTCCCGTATTCGCGATTAACTTAGTCTACGCTTCGTATCCTCGCTACAGGATTGCTAGCATCTACTCAGCCATTCAGTTAGCCACCCGGAAGCCAAACCATCCATTCTAATTCGTCAGCTTTCCACCATTTGTGTTAGCTATCTTCGTTTATATTTATAAGCAGTTCATCTATTAAGGATGATGTCATAGATTAAACCTATTACGAGCAGAGTCCCCAGGAAGTATTCATGATACTTAGAATGTAGCAACCTAAAGACTACCAGGTCTGATTGCTGACTAATATGTAAGATATGTTTTACTTATATTGTCACTATGGGCCGAAGCAAACCAAGTGGTTTATCTGTTTGTAGCTTGTTTATGTTTGAGTTAACACACACACGTTATTTTACAAACCAACCCCTGTCGAGCTTTCTACTCTCGGTTACGTATTCTTTGCACTCGTACAGTTTCCTTACGTAAACCTCGCTCTGGTACCATCTATCCATCCAGAATCGTTGAAGAAGGCTTTGATGAATGTCTATCTAGCTATCAATGCGTGTGGTGCCATTCATTCACGGCTTACTACCCAACAAACATATTCAGTTTATCGCACCGGTTAACACGCCATACGAGCTGCACTCTTGGCTTATTGACAAATGCGTCAACTGCATGCCATAAACACGCAAGTAAACGCGAAATCAACAGTGTAGCACAATTTCGAATGACGATGCGCAGCAATTATCTCACCAGTATATGTGCCCATTTTCGCTTTGTCATTTTCATCTACTGTACTTACGTCTGTGTCACGAGTTTTTCTTGAGTGTTACTGTGTACCTGACCGGTTGATGTTCCTCCCTGCTTTAACCTAAAAAATACAATCTCACAACTCCAAAAGCACGAAATTAAACTCGGAGACGTTTAACACATTGATTTAAACGATACTGCACTCCACCGAAAAGCTAGTAGGTCGACGCGCGTTCACACAGCGTATATTGACAGGAATCGACTTTTAGGTGGAATGCGAATCGCGCGCTCGCTGACATTCGTCGTTGCACTTAGACAGTTACGTGACCTCGAATTGATAGTGCACAACGTCGCGTTTGACTGAATAGCGATCCACTTAACTTTCCGCATGTGGTCTGATGCGGGAAGTATGTTCCCAGATACTACATATGCCTCATTCAGATCGAGAGTATTTCTTTTACTCGTTATCTTGCAACCATCACTTGTTCACACGCTAATACCAGTCGAATGCGCAGAAAATGTAACTCGCCCAGATCAGGTTTGCTGCCCTCGCAATCCACACAATGGCCTAATTTGTGGTGGTCCAAAAAGAGGCTACTGTCAAAGAATTCACGCACCAGAAGAGAATGTGCCTAGCATATTCTGGGTGGATGATCGCTTAGGTTGGCCGACCCGATTTCTTCAGTATGCTTGCCAATGTCAGCCACGAATGTTTGGCGTCTCCTGTGAACAGTGTTGGTTTGGATGGACCGGACCAGACTGCGCTAGACGAACACGTAATATTCGGCGTGACATTCGCACTTATAGTGCCGAAGAACTGGAAGTATTCAAGGATGTTGTCGTTAGAAGTTGGACGTGGCCGTCTAAATTTCTCATTCTGGATGAGTCGAAAAACGAGTACTCCGACCCCATCGAGAATCTACGCTTCATTCCTGCGAGTGTGCAGTATTACATTACCTTTTTGCATCACTACGGCTCCAGATCCACCTTGTTCAATGATCAAACAAAATGTGAGGAGTACGGTATCCTGGACTTTAACCACGATGGTGTGGCTTTCCCCACTTGGCACCGTTATTACAATCTCATTTGGGAACGTTTACTCGGGGAAATTGCTTGGAAAGTACACAGAGTGAGGGACTTCACCATTCCATACTGGGATTGGATCGGTATGAAAAAATGTGACATCTGCACAAATCAGTACATTGGAGCTCCCGGTAAGATGGACGAGTACGGAACCCACATTCATCCTCGATCACCATTTCACAATTTGACAGACTTTTGCTGGGAACGAACTCCTGAAACTGCCTGCGATGGGTGTCAGAAATGGGGGAAATTTGGAGTTGTGACCCGACGTTTCACTTCAGAAATATTTCCGGATCAAGAAGATATTGAATTCATCCTAAACATGAGGAAGTAAGCAGATTGCAAATATCACTATTTTGTGGTATGCATTAGTTCACTGGCCAGGAAAGATGCTGGTTTTAGATAAGATTTTTCATTATATTCAAGCGAGAAGTACCTGAGCTATCATCAATCAATCGTGCTGGTAAAACTCTGACATCTATAGTAACCTTTGAGTTTACCTGTATGCCGGATGCCTATGTTGTTCCCCATGAGTCAGACCAGTAACCAGCTGTCCAATTAAATTTCACCAGGTGCGTAAAAGCATGTGTATCACATCTCCTAATTTTCAGGTTTGGAGAAGCTTGATGAGCTAAAGTAAACTAGTTATATCCGAGATGTGAACGCAAGTGGAAGCTGTCCACCGAAAACACAGCAAAAAGGTCTTTTGCTGTCAAGTTTCTATCTGCCGGTCGTCATTGAGCTCCTAATCGTGTGTAACAATCCCGAGGATGTAAGCCTTTTCCTTAAGAGTAAGATGCCGATACCACTATAGAGGGAACTATCGCGATCGAACTGCTTGATGAACTCAACAATTTTGGTTGCAGATGTCTCGTCAGCATTCGTGGTGCCATCACCAGTGCGTTGTTGTCTACCGTGTACTGACGTAGCGCAGGGAGGCCTCGGTGTGAGACGGAATTATGAATTTGATTGCAATCAATAGTTGAGACAAGCCCCGGGATTAGGTGCAGTAATCGTCGACTGAAACTGCCTTAAATACCCAAAAGTTTTGAACTGCGTACAAATGGCTGTTTCCGGAATTTTCTTTTTATATGAAAATGGCAAGATACTGCCAGTCAATTCATGCGCTGACCGCAACGTTGTCAAAGTAGGTTTAAACACAAATTTCGTCCTTATCTCACCATCCTTTATTTATAACGCGTGGTAGCACGCTAGATCTTGATCAGCCGATCACGTTCTCGCAGGCGGTTTGTCCTTTTTCATTTTATGGCCTTTGTCCTGCTGTCTACACCGAATCAACCGGGTAACTTTTCTTCCAATTCCATACAACACAAGCTACTTCGTGAGTGGTGAACGTGACAGCCCTGAGTGTCATTCATTCCACATGGCCCTGGAGGGATTCTGTGGTCCACCTGGGACCATCTCCCGAGATTTGTGGACCCATAACAAAGTGCACAATATGATCCAAGGAAGCATGCAGAGCACCGCCACGGCAAGCAACGATCCCATCTTCATGCTTCATCACACCACGATTGATAAAATATTCTCCGTGAGTCTTTGGTAACCCTCTTCCGTGTATGATCCGCCGATACTGAAATTGACCATTTCTCATCTGCTTACTTATAAGTATTTCCAGTTAATCCTCTAGAATTATTATACTCTGCATCGACGGGTCTGCTATCACGGCCCAGGTGCATTTCTGTTGAAGTCTCGGTTAGTAGGGTACACTGCTTTTAGTTTCAACCATTGGATTGCCCCCAAGTCAATTAGAATCTTCAGCACATAGTTTCAATTGCTATTTATTTTAACCAAGTAACAATGTAATCAATATAACCTCCATTGTTATCGGCCACTTATTGCCAACGATCAGACAAGCTGTAGATGTGTCGCACAAAACCAGCTGCGTTGTCTGTCAAACTATTGGGTAAGGTACGTTTCGATGAAGTCGCGGTTATGGAATTTCTTGCCACTGATGTTATTGTACAACGAACAAGATAGGTGGTAGTCAGAAGGAGCATAGTCTGGGCTATATGCTGGATGCACAAGAGTTTGAATACCGAGCTGCTGACAGGATACGCGTCATCTTTACCATATGAGAACGCATAGTGATACAGAAGGATTAGAATTGCTCATTGACGCTATTTTCAATTACTTATGAGTAGGGAGATTTTACTTGCAATTTATTATGTTCATCCCAGTCTCAATGGGGCAAAACGCGTCTGGTGCTTTTCCGGATTGTGACCGATCTATTTTCAATGTTCGTCAATCATCTTTCGTAGTTGTTGGCAGTAGATATCGGCAATCACCGTGTAATTGTCTGGTAGCAGCTCCCAATAGATGACGCCACGGCGATCCCACCAGATTGACACCATCACCTTTTGCTGTGCAGTTCGCTTCTTGGGAGTTGTGTAGTCACACCGTCTGTGCAAATAAACATGCTAATGGGAGCCAGTTTGGTCAATGTACTCTTACTGCGCACCTGTACGCAACCGTCATCAACCCATTAATCCATTCACTTAAAAATGAAGTAGCTAGAACTTGGGGACCGAAAAATGACACCTGCGTAACATCGATGAAACATTTGACAAGCAATCCATGTCTAGATGAATTTCGAGTTGTGCCACCATTTTGTTCAGAAAATGATACACTGTGTAAGCAACTCTGTAATGTGCATTTTCTAAAGTTCCGTCCAATGACACTAAACTTTTGAAAATTCTTGAGATTAGGCGATTTGCTTTCCTTGTAGAATTCACAATCAGTACTTGCATTAACTGTGATTAACCGCCTTGAAGTTAGATCCGGTATTTTTGGATGGATAGTATTGAAATTATTCCGATACTTAAGCTTTGGGACAGTGAATTCTTTTTTGAAACCTCCGGTTGTTGCAAACAATGCGTTACGATACGCCGAAGCTGTGAAAAAGTCGGTTACCTTAAGGCCGATCAAACCTTCTGCAGTGAAGTGCTTAAATCGAAGTTAAGGGCTTTATGTCTCTAGTGTTAGCTAATAAACCGTACTACCTTTTCATTTGGGTTAACCAAATAGAGCGGCTAAAAGACCAAGAACAACCTGTGTGCCTTAAGTATCATGGGGAACTGTATGATGCTTATAGTTCTATTTCACTCATCTCAAAATTCCAAAGGATTTTAATGCTACTCGTTGGTTACGTCTGCTCTACAATGTTATCAGCTGAAGCAAGACACATTTCCCATTATTCGTTCACATTCTTGTTTAACTGATACCAATCTAAGTTTCCTTTAAAGTATACATAGAATTAAACTGACCCAGCGCACAGAATTTTGCCATGTTGTCCATTTGAACTTGCGCTTGAGTACCTTAATTGTAGAACTTATCCACTAACTGTGTGGGGAGAAATTTCTTTCCCTTATCTACACACACTGTGTTTTCAACCTCAGGGTGATAACAAAGCGATGAAACCCAAAAGATAGCAGGCCAGTCTGACGTTGCACGTGGTTATAATATTAATAGTATGAACCTCAAACATTATCAGTGAGACCAGGTTCCTCTGATTCACCCCGTCTCTGCAGATGTGGTATCGTCGTCACCAGCCCGATTTCTCCGCATATCCTAATGAAGCCGTCAGACCTGGACACAAACGTGACGCATTCATGATTGCCTTCTTCCCTCCGGTACGGAACGGAGAAATGTTTGTCGACGTGAACGCGCTCGGATATGACTACGAAAATCCGACATCGGTGGGGAATTACGCACAAAATAACAAGCCGCCAGTGTTCCAGTAAGTAATAGCGTACTTGGGAAATTTGTTGGCAGCTTGCCGCAGGCAATGTGCATGACAGAAACAGCGCTCCCTTCACAGTTTCCCACAAACTTTTATATTATTTAGATGCTATCGAAATTGTACATTTCCTACGAAAATAAACACTGGTTTTACAGTGTAAAAGCAACCTACTCTGTTATCTCTAAAAATTCGTCTTTCATTTATTCAAACTCAGAGGACGACGCAACAAAGTGTGGTTTTACCAATTGCCCTAGTTAACCAGTAAGCGTACAGTTGGTTCCTAATTTCCGCTGTTGGCACCTGCTTTCGGAGTAACGATAAATAACAACTTTAGGACAGTGGGTTTGGGTGTGAATAGAATTTAGAAAATAGTACTAAGAAGAAACTGCGTTAGACTAATCGGAACGGAACGAAAATTAACAACCAGGTGAAAGAAACCGAATGCAGCAACGCCATTGACTTCGGGAATGTGCCACGTCTGACATGGTCTCCAACCATTGGTGTGGACCGTCTGGTTGCCCTCAGCCACCGTGACCAATTCTCCCAGTCAATTTCTTCATGCCTCGATGCCACGCTATAGACTGGCTACCACGAGGTTTCTCCCAACTTGTTGCAACCACGGCGTATAATGCACGTCGAGGTAGCCAAACAACGGGCATACGCAGATCATGGCCTAGTTAAGGCATGCGAATATAGTTTAGCAAACTCTCGAGTGAGGCATCAGAAGGTTTTTTTACAAAATGCCAACTGTCGGACCTCAGCATTACTCACCCGGTGTTCCCACCAGACGTGAGCAAAACTCCGCAAGCACCGATGATCGAACACGGCCAAGTGCCTAATGTCTTCGTCACGAACTGACCAAGTATCTGATCCATACAATACAACCGACCTTACCACAGTGTTATACACCCTAACTTTCACTGACAAGATGATAAACAGCCGTTCCTATAAATGTTGAGCCTCTGGATAGACACACTCGAAGTAACTTTCTCAGTAATGTGATTATCCGCGGTGACGCAGCTACCAAGGTAAGTGAACCCATCCACCACTTCCAATGGATGTTCGGAAATAGCTAAGATCTGAGATGTATCGGCCCAGTCCTGCAACAGCACTATACACTTCGAAGTGGCAAAGTACATGCCCAACCGTGCAGCGCTACGCCCAAGTCTGTGCAGTAGTGTTTGCACAACCAATGCTTCAGACCCAAGGAAAACTATGTCGTCCGCATACTCCAGGGTTGTCAGTCGGTCACCTGGCCGAACGTACACTCTGGTAGGTTCTGAAGGAACGGAGTCCTTGATGATCATTTAGATAACGAAATCGAAGAGAGAAGGAGATAAAGGACCACTCTGGCGAACCTCATTTGTAGTGGAGAACTCTGGAGGCAGTTTTCCCGTAGACCCTAACACGGCCTCGGCAATCACGAAAGTGGGACTTCAGAAAGGAGAGGAGTTCAGCTGACACGACCTTCATGGATAGGCAGTGCCAAAGACTCAATCTACAGAATCGAAAACGGCTTTAAAATTAAGGAAAACTGCCACATTCGGTTGTCTGTCTGTGCGTCTCCACTCTAAAATTTGGCGAAGAGTAAATACGTGGTCCATGCAACGACGGCCAGGGCGGAAACCAGGCTGGTTTTCAGTGATTCAGTTCCCAAGGGGACCAGTATATCTTCGTAGAATGATACTCTTGATAAGTTTTGGGGCAATGAAAATAAGGCGCTCCAAATTGACCGACAGTTTTGTGCTGATATACACCACCTGCAGGTGATGGTAATATGATCAATTTGGGTCCAGATCCTTGAGAAATTCGGTGAGCTCCAAGTGGCGCGGTGTGAACGTTTGTACTAGAAAGCAGCGCCGCTAGTATAAAGATGGTGGTCAGTGCGCAGTTGCAGGAATCGATCATCAATGTCTGTTCAGTGTGCATCGACTCTGAAGCGCCCTCTCAGGTGTCGTTCAATGTCTGCAAGATGACCACTTTGGGCATTCAAGTCGCTGGCAAGAATCACGACATCAATACTTTTCGCCATAAGGAGGAGATGAAAGATGGTAGTATCAATCATCTTTGGTTCCCTCTAAAGTGTAGTCAGTAGTAACGTAAACCGAGGCGATGAAAAGGCACCTTGTCTTCATACGATGCTTATTTCCCCTAACAGAGATTCGAAATTGAACCGCACACATTTGGCTGTTTACCGGTATCCTGTCGAGTACATTACCATCAGCATGTCTGCTGATTGCGAGACCAGCACCGTAAATGCCTTTGGTCTTTGACACGGTATCATCAGAGAAGCAAAGAGTGTAGTCATCGTCGTCGAATTCAGAACCAAGGTGTCGAAGATTCGTCACAACGTTGTTATCTTTTATACGTGTTTCGGAGACACAGCGCACATCGATTTCAAAAGGGTGAAACTTGACAGTCAATGCTGCTTGTTGACCGATCTGATCCAAACTGCGGGCGTTCAAAGGACAAATGTGGAATGCAAGTCGTGGTTTGGTGTACGAGTCACAAGTATCACTGACAGCAGCGAGGCCATCGGCAGATCCTTACTGAATAGGTGGGGAAGAATAGAGTAGCGCGGTGTGCGCAAAATAAAAACAAGAGGGAGTAATGTCGACGTGTTCGAGAGAGGGGTTTTGTTCGAGGTTCCCTACCTCTAGCCATTGACTCAACACTCTGACCCACAAGGCAGTGTAGATTTGGAGGTTCGCTTCAGAGAGTTCACCCGGAGCCTTTGGATCATTAGCCTGACGCACAAGACAGTGTGCAGCAAGTCCAGTTTGAGAGTGTGATTGCAGATACTCCTTGGGATCGCTTGAGGTCCGTCACACGCAGACTTCAAAGATCTGGAACAATTTATGTGTTTTACGACCGTATCATGTTACGCAGTTACGACCATGGTCAGCCGCAGGTAGGAGTAGGCGGTTTGCACAGATTTGACTAGGGGCTGTTTGGCATGAGGCGAGCTGTAGCAGACCATTGAACATCGGAATGTTCCCTTGCACCGTCAAAGAAAGTGCGTGACACTCGTACTCTACACCAATCGATGTGTGAGCTTCTAACCCGTTGATCTGTTACACTGTGAGCAGTTCCTTTCCAGACGCCCATATTCGCTGCTGTACAAGTCAATGGTTTGCACATTGTGTTGGTAAGGTAAGTGAAACAATACTATAAATAAAACTATTTTGGTCGACTTCTTCCTAACCTCCGAAGCGGATCAGGTTGTGAAACTGACTTAGTCTGTCCCCTAATCATTGAACTGTCTGGTATGAGTGGCTCTGAAGGCACTTGGGAAGAAACACCCAGCGTAGCTCAAAGGGTCACGGGGGTACACAAGCCATCGCACCGCGCTAAGGTCCAGTCTCGCGGCGATGGACAGCAAGAAATATTCCTATCGGGTCTGTCAGTTTGGTCAGGGAGAGAAGTATGAACGCAAAGATTGCACATGGGAACAAAGTAGGAACATGGGGCCCTTAAGCATTGGCTCTACAGCCGTTTCTGTGTGCAGAAACCTGCTTTGATTATAAGTCCAGGCGGCACTATGAAGTTTCAAAACCGCTTTAGGTATAACCAAAGCAGTGTTAATTCTTCGAAGTAACAACGTCCCTAGAAATGTCGTGGACTAGCCAACGCTTGTACAGATGCTCTTCATCAAGATTAATCCAGGTGATGTCCAAATATTTCACATACATCACACAATTTCAGTGCACATGCTTTATTAAACCAAAAATGCCAATATCTTAACTGACTTTTCGATGAGTAGCTTACGTAGTGTCTACGTGGTTGTTTCGTGAGACATCTGATAAAAGCGAAACAAGGATAACACGCCTTCTGTTGTACCGCTTGAGAGCTTATTTGGTGAAGATACAGATTTGTACGCAAGTGGCTGAAGCACGATAATTCTGTGAAACGAAAGCTAAGTAGCATGACACTGGACTATTAGCAGAGCTGCGGGACACTAAAACATCCAAGCCTGGCGACCCTAGTTGAAGCGCGACTTAGAAGTGCTAGCAAAACCAAAGCGCAAAGCCACAAAGAATGTCAGGGGCCTACGAAATCTATCGTACAAGCACAGACGGAAGTCCCTGGGAGTTCTCAGTGGCCGCTATCGAAGGCTGTACGGCGGTCCCACTTTAGTCTACTAAAAATTGAGTGACCATAAGCACAGATGTCGTTGCTTTTTGAAACTCAACCATAACACCAATCTCTGAGGTAGCACTCTGAAATTGTCTGCACAATATAGCCGCCTGGAAGGCCGGCGGAATTATTTTTCTCTTCGGGTTTGCCAATCCTCGAACTCTCTCTCACAAACTTAGTTGTTTCCTCCCGCATCTTGCATATTTTCAAAAAACGATTGGATCTTGCCCTTGGCCCCCATCACTTCGTTGCCTAAACTGTGTTACTTTGGAATTTATTAATTTTCCTTCTAAACCGGATTAACATGTTACATAAACCTGAGGAGGCGGTACAGAAGTGAGTATCCATGTTTTTTTATTTTTCTCAGGGAGTACAACAACTATAACTGTCACCATGTTACCTCGTCGTTTGCATTCAAATCCCACTTACACTACTATTAGTCAGCAGCGTGTCTGCTCGATAAAGGCTCAAACAGTCAACTCACGTATCTTTGATATTATTGTATTACCCCTACCATCCTACGGGATTTGCCAAGCTACTGCTTTTTGGTTAAACGTAAATCATTGTTCATTGTTCCTGAGGAGGTGTCTGCTTTTAAGCCCCACGCAAGAATGCTTGTACATTGTTAGCATGAAACCCAAAGTCAGCACATGAATATGTAGACATTCCCCATACCGATTAACACGGCCGGCGAAGCAATGTGTTTAAAATTGGCCGTGTTACTAACCGAAGCTCTCACATATATGCAGGACACCCGGTGGCAGTGGATCCTCTTAACAGCTGATTGATCTCTTTGTGGATTTAGTAGCTTAACTCGAAAGAGAGCTTACTGCAAAATAACCAGAAGAAAACAATGGCTCTTTACCTTTCGAGGCTATACAAGTATTCAACTGTTCGATAACATTAATCAGTAAAAAGCAGCCGACGGCAATTTACCTTCATCGGCATTAAGTACCAACACGGGGTTCCTGTCAGCATTTTTCAACGAAGCGCAGTAACTCAGATGGTGACTTGTATTGAT